TGCCACTAATGAAATGACAGCTCTAGAAAAAATGTGCGTATATTGAAGTTACATTTACAGACCAAAAGCGTCCTCGGGTTTTACAGTTTAAAAATATAGACTATTAACAAACTAACTTGAATCACGAGAATACACGGGCAGTCATTTCATTCCTCATATTGTAAACCTTCCACTGCTTCTATACAGGTTGGCGACCCAGAGGAAGTGGACGCAATCGACAAAGTGTTTTGCGTGGAGTCCGGCAGACAGGAACCTCTACTCATCGGCTCCGTCAAGAGCAACTTGGGCCACACGGAGCCCGCGTCGGGGCTGTGTTCCATCGCCAAGGTTATCGTCGCCATGGAGGAAGGAGTCATCCCGCCAACCATCAACTTCAGGCGTCCGCGAAAGACCATCCAGAGCCTCATGGAAGGCCGCATGAAGGTGAGATCAAGTTGCATGTGGTAGTGGAACCGTGTTCAGTATAGAAAAAATCAAAATAAGGTGGTCGCGGAAATAGACTTATAAAATTTCATTGCCAGGTATCCTTAAAAAATTGTCAACTATTTCAAAAATTTCATTCTCAAACTACCAAATCAGTATCGAAAATAATTCTACAATACAAGGAAAACGGAACCTCAATCATCTAGTTCGTCCCGGTGAAAATCCAATAGATGTTACCAATTTCACCTACCTACCACCATACTAAAATACTTTAATTTGTACATAAAACCTAATCTGATCCTTCTAGCTATTTCTGAAAATAGCTTTGGAAATAATTACGTTTTAAAATAGCAAATAATTCATTAGTATATCAATATTTTCTTCACCCGTCCAATTATCCTCCTATATACTGCGTAAGCAGTATGAGAGACAGCAATCGTTAACGTAAAAAAGAAGCAAATATGTTTGCCCAAAAGTGTGTGAATTCACAAAAGCGATATTGATTTTATGTTCTTGGGGCGCAGGTGGTGACAGAAGTGACACCGTGGAACGGAGGAGTGGTGGTCCTGAACTCATTCGGTTTTCGGCGGCGCCAAACAGCGATCGTGCTGCTGCGTTCCCCACACACGCCCCCCCGTCCGGAATCCAAGGGCGGAGGGCGCTCGGACGTGCCGTCGAGCTGCCGGCGTCTGGTGCTGGCGTCTGGGCGCACGCGCAAGGCCGTGGACGTGCTGCTGGAGCGAGGTGGCGCGCCCACACGCCGCCCACCAAGGGGCCTGGTGAGCTCAATTGCACGCCCTGCACGAAGTCAACACGCCGGGCCACATCTACCGCGGCTTCGTGGTGTGAGGGGACGCTCGGCACCGGCCACCGGCCGCGACGTGCAGCAGCTGGTCGGGCGAGCGCGGCCCGTGTGGTTGTGTTCGCCGGGCATGGGGCAGCCAGTGGCCCGCCCTGGGCGCCGCTCATGCGCTGCCGCTCTTCGCCGCGCCGTGCAGCGCTGCCACCCGTGCCTGGCGCCCGCGCGCGTCGACATCGTCCGTGCCAGTCCAACGACCCTCGCGTGCTCCACAACATCTGCAGCTCGCTTTCGTGGGCATCGCCACGGTGCAGGTGGGGCTGGTGGACGTGCCTGGCGCGCGGGTGGGCATCGAGCCCGACGTCATCATCGGCCACTCGGTGGGCGAGCTGGGCTGCGCCTACGCCGACGGCTGGCTCTCGCGAGCAGACGGTGCTGCGGCGTACGCGCGCTGGCCCGCGCTCACTCGAAGGCCCAGCTCCGTGCGGGCGCCATGGGCGGCCGTGGGGCTGAGCGCGGCGGAGGTGGCGCCGACTGTGCCCGCCCGACTGGACGTGGCGTGCCACAACGGGCCCGACCCGCCACCATCTTCGGCCCCCGCCCGTCGCGCGCGCCTTCGGTGGGAGCCTCAAGGCGCGCGGCGTGTTCGCCAAGGAGTTGGGGCGTGCGGCGGCATTCGCCTACCACAGCGCTATCATCGGCCCCGCCCGCAGCTGCTCTCTGCGCTCCTCCAAGGAGGTAGGCGCGCAGCGTGCGTGCGAGCAGAACGAGAGTAGAGAGAGAGCGAGGCCGACACAACGTGTGTATGTGGCAGGTGATCCGGAGCGCGTTCCGCCGCAGCGCGCGCTGGCTCAAGCTCGTCGGTGGGCGAGAGCCGCGTGGGGGCTGCCCGAGCGCAGCTGTGCTCGCCGAGTACCAGACCAACAACCTCTCCGGCTCGGCTGCAGTTCGATGCCCCTGCTCACCCGCGTGCCGCGCAGTACGCCGTCGCCATCGAGATCGGCGCCCGCAACGGCTGGCTGCAGGCCGATCCTCAAAACGCGCGCTGCCGCCGATGGCTCACGTCCGTTGGCTCGACGGGGCGCTGACTCCCTCAACTTCCTTCTCAACGCCATCGGACGGTGAGAATACTTGAGAGTCTGAGAGCTGGCCACACAAAAATATGACATTCCGCCATAATACGTAATTTATACACGGACTTAAGATGAACCAAAACAAATATCATTTGTCTGCAAGTGCCGCAACGACATTAGAGTCCATCGAACCCAGCAAATTAAATTATTTTTTCTTGAATTCGCCACGTCTCAGTATTTTTGTAGGTATTATATTAATTACAATGATTCGAAAAAACATGGTTCGCTTCCTGTCTTGCTGAACTTAACAAGTCTACGGGTCAAAGCTACATCGTAATTAATAAACGATAGCGATGAATGACACGTTAACTGTAAATTTACGTTTATGATGAATAAAGGGGGTTCTCTGCTAGTGGTTCGACGGCACATGTGTGTTTCTTTCACTCGTAAAATCACAGATGCGAGGGAATAATGTGCGGAAGGTGAATCGAAACACTAAATGTTATAAACAGATATAGATATATAAATATTATAAATGCTAAATATATAAATTGACAGGTCAATGAAATATAAAATTTGCGAAACAAATGAAGAAATTAGAGCGCTGTTACTGGCCTGACACAGACGTCGCATCGAAAAGGCACTTTGTCGTCGAAATAATTGCAAACCACATTTTCTTTCTTTGCCACACACTAAGCCTCCTCTTACAACAGGCAAGATATTATAATCGGATGAATGATGCAGACAAGAGATAAGGGAATTGGGAGAACCAGAAAATCCCAATCCGGCCTAAATTGTCTGCAGCTAAGTCCACATGAGGTAAACGATATCTGAATAGCAAAGTGGCAGCTACACGGAGAGACGTTTTCTAACCTCTACTTTATCAGAATGTTGTGTCAGGGAATGCGTGCATGCGTAGGCTGTACAACGCGGGGCTGCAGCCACGTCCCGCGGCGCTGTACCCGCCTCCGCAGTGGCCCGTGCCCCGAGGCACGCCCATGATCTCCCCGCTGGTGCGCTGGTCCCACGGGGACGACTGGTTCGTCACCAGCTTTCGCCTGCGCGAGAGGTCGCACAACGCGGAAATCACTGCGATCCTCGAACCCGAAGACGAGGACAGCGAGATGATGGACGGCCACATCATTGACGGTCGGCCGCTCGTTCCGGCAACTGGGTATCTGGTGAGGAAAATCGCTCTAGTATTCTCTCCAGTAATAAATTTGGCTTATTGAATGCATTGGCTAAAAATCATTCATCGTAAAATATTTTTAAATCTTATAGTCTCGTTTTACAGATTTTAGATTTTGTTGTTTTAATTCAGTCTCTCCGTTCCTCTCACTCTACCTTTACAGTGCTCCCAAATATTGTGACATGCCATATAATAGCTTATCATAATTATAATATTGGAACCACGTTCAATGATTGGATCTTTTAATGTCCTTAAGCTCACTGCTCATAATTAATTACTAAAGAAAAGGTGTTTCAAGATAATTTCTATATTCTTTTGTCTCTATTTCTGACTGTTTGCAGCCCTCTCAGATTCACATATTTTATTACAAATCAATCACATCCGAGTTAGTCTTTTTGAATCCGGACGAATTTTCCAAAACATTGTTTTTGACGTTCCCAATTACTCTAGTTCTTGAAGTAGAGTCAAAAGGAATAAACAATATTTTTTCTTTAGACTAATGTTATTACTTTTGCGAATATTGTTAATTAACTTTCACAGAAATGGCATGGGAACATATCTGTTATATTTCCTTTAAAATAAAGGAAAATGGTAAATAGGTTTATTTTGATTCATGACAATGTAAACTGAGATGTTAACAAAGACAAGAATGTATTCAGTATGAAACTACTGAATTGTTGTTCTGTGGGAGGCTTCGATAAACCCAGCAAACCTCAAAATGTGGTTTATGCAAAAATGAGAAATTCAATGGTTTTCCCTCTATAATCAGTACTTGCCCCACTGTTGTTTAGTTTCTACCTAGCTGATAAGTTTGAGACCAAGTCGGGAAAATTTATCAATGAATATGATGTAACCATAGGAAAGAGATCCAAATACAAGAACTATATAAAAACAATTACAACTCAAAAAATATTTTTCTACATAGAGGAAATAGAAAAACTCGCTTTTTACGGAATCACGAACTCACAAAACGTGTTTTTCTGCAGAAAAATTGTCACTTTTTACTCGAATATTACATGACTCTCTGTAATCAGTATACACGCTAGTAACAATAATGTAATCTGAGAATTTGTCTTTGGAACCTCTCTAGAATTTTAAGGGTACTAGTGATTCTAATCTGTTCATATAAAATGAGAAGACTATGTAGGCATAGTAGCTGGGTACTCGTACAAAGTACGTGACAGTAGATGGAGCAAGTACTGATGATAGAGGGAAGACCATAGCTATTTCTCGTTCTTGCATAGGTCAAATGTTCGGGCATGCTGGCTTTCTCGACCCCCCCCCCTTTAACAATTCAGTACTTTCACACTCAATACCTGTTCATTCTTCTCTGCTTTATTAACATGCCCGATTACATTGTCATGAATGAAATTGAGCGTATTTACCATTTTTCTTCTGTACTCCCATTGTCCTGTAATAAACAATGCTATTTTACACTTACACCACCCTCCTTGCTAACAAATATATTGCATAACAAAAAATTGACATTGATTTTATGAAATTGCAATATGTGCAGAAAATGGTGTGGCAAGCGGTGGCCAACTTACAAGGTCTCCTGTACACGGAGACGCCTATTGTCTTCGAGAATGTTCGGTTCCTACGAGCGACTCGCCTGCCCAAGTCGGAAGGTATGTTCTGATTCGACATTATTTAATTTCTGTCGCACAGAAATGTCTTTGTCCCGTGTATGAGAGTTACAGTAGCCTCTGCCTGCATGGGAAACAAGTGCCTAAGAAAGCAGCAGCGAAGCGAAAGAAAGAACAGTAAATTTGAATTAGACTAAACACTCCATTACATCAGTCGACATCGCTTCTTTCCGAAATTCATATCACATTTCCCATAAACCAACCTAAAATCCAGCACAGGGAAGGTTCGGACTTCAGTTATAATAGACTCTGATGGAGTATTGGGAACGTCTTCCACGTTTCCTGAGCATCCCGACAATACCCACGCGGTTAGCGCCAAAGAATCTCTGTGGAATCGTTCGGGCGGTACACAGAGGGGTTACGGTTTTCGCCAGCTACTCGGCGCAAGTGAAACTGAACAGGAATTCGTATCCTTCCTATAGTAAGAAATACAGTTTCGACACCAACCTCAGAGGGAGGGTTCCTACCCAGGTTTTCAATGGAGCAGGCGGAGTTGGGTTTGATTCATCTTCATTCGATCAGTCTCGTAAGTATATATATATATATATATATATATATATATATATATATATATATATATATGTGATGTAAAACGTTAAGTACTCGGTAGCACTGGGTGCAATTAATTCAAGCAGAAATTACGTATTAAAAAGCTGACATTTTAAAAAGATTTAAGACAAAAATCTCGACATGTTTGCAGTTATCAAAGATTAACTTCATGCGCCCAGAAGCCCGTCAGAATCCTACACACTTTCCAAGCTATAAATTCCAGTCACGAGCCTAAGAGTGTAAAGAACTGTGTCTTTCGTGGAAGGTGATGAAGATGTGAGCGACACAGGGACTAGACGGACGGGAGCTGGGGGTGAGGTGGGGTGAAAGGAGGGCTTTTCCAACGCCTGCGTATATCGCCTGAATCGAAATCTATTACGATATACTCATTTATAATAAATATATTGACAACTCCCAGGGGTTTCATGTGAATACTTCGGAAACTCAAAGGATTCGTTTCAAATTCGCAAGGCGTCGAGCCGGACCAGATCGATCGGGGAATATTCGCTTTAGCAACGTTTCTACGAAAGGATGTTATTCACGGACGGATGTTTTGAAAAAACAATTTTCAGTATAAGGAGGCCTCGGTGTAACTCGGTGTAACGAGGAGAAATGGAGCCAAGGCCACCCTACATACCAAATCTTTTCGCTCCCCAGGAGAAAAGCTGGAACTGAAGGTGAACGTGCACCGCGCGAGCGGCGACTGGGAGGTGTCGGACAACGGCACCGTGGTGGCGTGCGGCCGCGTGCGCATCCCGGAGGACGTGGAGAAGGAGATGCTCTCTCCGCCGCTGCAGCAGCGCGCGCCGCGCACCGCCCCCGCCGACGCGGAGGCGAAGGCCACCGGCGCCACACGCGCCGCCGCCCCCGCCAACTGTGCCAGACCCCAGGGCGACCGAGGCGACAACGACGACGAAGAGGAGGAGGACGACGATGATGAAGAAGAATGCGAAGTTGCTGAGCCCGTGGTCGGTGACGAGGTAGCCGACTTCGATATGGGCGCCAAGCACGTGTACAAGTGCATGCGGCTGCGCGGGTACAACTACCAGGGGCTCTTCCGCTGCATCCACTCTGCCAGTTCGGATGGTAAGCAAGACTCCCAAAATAAATACAAAATGGCCCCTGGGTGCCAAAAGATTTATTTAATGATATTAGTGACGGAGAGCCAGTGCTAAGGTTGATATTATTTCCTTCTAATATTGCATTTATATGTAATAATTTCTAATTACCCTTCGTAAAGAGATCTACTCTTTTCTCAAATTACGTGTTTCTGGAAATGCATTTTATTTGCATTAACTTACAAAATAAAAAAATCGTGTAAAATAGGCGCAAACAGTTATAAGATTCATTTTATGTTCTCGTAAGTGAATTGTAAACAATTTTTTTCACGAAATTGCTGTTTTTTCTTTATCTTAAATGTGACTTAATAAGACCACAGCTAATTTATTCTCGCAAACTCGTATAATTAGTGTTATTTTTTTACATTATTTTTCATAAATCAATTTTTTTTTTTCAGGAACGGGTGCATTAATTCGATGGAGCAATTGGATATCCTTCTTAGATGGCATTCTGCAGGTACAAATACTCGCCAAGGATTCCACACAGCTTTATGTACCCACGTCCATACAGAAGTTGGTTATTAACAGTCACAGTCACTTGGAAAGTGTGAACTCTATGCCTCGTAATAGAAGGTGTAAGTAGTCTTCAAAATTAATGTCTAAATCATTAACGTAAAGAAATTGAGAGGCGTCCAAAGACGCCTCGCTGGACTCAGCGATGTATAACAAACACATTTCGTAACCTGTTCTACTGGTGTTCAAACCCCTTAGAATAGTATATTATGCAATTAGTTCATATTGTTAAGGTTTATTGTATGAGTAAATATCTTGAAAACGAGATACAATTGGAGCAAGTTTTCGAATTCGATCCCTCGATCGAGACTTAATAAGGTGGCTTCAAACATGCGCAGTGTTCGAGGCACAGATGGTGCCTGAGCTGGACCTCATCACGACCGGCACTGTCGAGATACGCGGCCTGTTC